GGCCGTGATGCGCTCCGCCTGCACGTCCGCCAGCGTGGCGTGAGCTTTCACCTTGTGGATGGTGGCGCTGCCGACCCCCACGTCGTCGAGGGCTGCCCAGAACCGCGCCCAAAGCTCGCGGCAAGGCCGCTGCCACTGCAGGCACCACGCCCTGCCCGCCGCGAAGCCGTCCACGAGCAGCTTGCAGTCAGTGAAGATCCGCACAGGTGGTAGGCAGCTCTGGATGCCCTCGATGGCCGCCACCAGCTCCGCTGCCCCTGATTCTTGGGGATACGGCCAGGGGAGCGGGCCGAAGAGGCTGACTGCCTCGCTGTCGGGCCCCATGACGACGACCGCCCAGCCGCCGCGCGCCGGGGCGAGGCTGGGGTCCAGAACGCTCCCGTCCGTGAAGAGGTCGCCCGAGAGCGGCTGTCCCACCAAGTCGGCATGACCCTCCTTCCGCGCCTCCCTGGCGTCGGTGGGCGGTGGCAGGGTCCTTCGGTGCTCGGGTGCAAGAGCGCGGGACCAGAGCGGGTCCTCGTCTCCCTCGATGCTGGCCATACCGACGATGGTGCGAAAGGGGATGTCGCCAGGGGGGCACCGCTCGCCCGCCTCCTCGTTGGAGATCCACTCGCCGCGGCTGGCCTCGGTGGCTGGGCACTGCCACGCCAGGTGCCGCACTGTGCCGTGCGCAGGGCATCCCCTGGGGCACCAAGGAGAGGAGGCCAATGGGCGTTCCTCAAAGAACCGCCGCGCCACGGGCCAGAGACATCCGACCAGCGCGTTCTTGGCCGAGCTCATCTGCTTGGCCTTCTGCTTGCTCAAGCGCTTGCGTGCCAGTGTGCGCCTGATACTGGACAGGGCGCCTCCATCGCGCAGGTGCTCCAGTCCTGGGTGCTTGCTCGCTGCCCGCCACAGCGCCCTCTCGTGGCCATCGGCGATGTGCTTGGCGAGCGTGGAGGCCCCCAGGGTCCGTAGGTCCAGCGGCTGCTGCTTGTCGTTGGTGAGCAGCCCTGGCAGTGTGGCGGTCCAGCCCAGGCGGTGGCAGGCTAACACGCACGCAGCAGCTGGCCCGCGTCCAGCCAACGCCTCAGGCCCGCCTCTGGCCAGCAGCGTCCTAGCCCCTGCGAAAGCGCTGCCCAGGGCCCTCAGGTCCCGGCTGTCCGAGTTGAACTGCACCGCCTTGGCCCATGCGACAATGGGCAGCGCCACGTGGTCGTACAGCGGGTCGCAGTGCAGACGCTTGCTGAGGAGGAAACTGAAGCTGAGGCTCTTGCCAGGGCCGTGCCCATGGTGGACGGCGTTGACCTGGCTCCTCCACTTGTTGAGCTGCGACGTCGGCCAACCCACCACACTCAGCCCATAGCGAGTAGCAGGCCGCAGACCAGTGTTCGCCACTCGAGCTGCTGCTGGGGTCTCCTGCGAGCGGATGGCGTGCAACCTCTGCAACTGGGATGCCGCCTTCGTATGCCGCTTCTCGAGGACCACGAACGCTTGGCCGTCGAGGCAGTAGTCGACCCCCAGGTTCTTGACCGAGTCGGCGATGGGAAAGGCGATGCCTCCCATTAGCTTGGCGACCAGTGATGCCAGCTCTGGCGAGCTGGCCAGCAGCTCGCTCTTTGCTGCTGAGACCTTGCAGCCTAGGGCCTCCAGCTGTGAGATGACCGCCTTCGTCGCCTGGGCCACGTAGGCTGCGACCTGTGCCATCGGTCCGTGGCAGCCGACGCAGCAGTCGTCGAACATGATGGCGAGGGTGACTCTGGGCTCGAGCGCCCGCCACAGCCGCGCATGCTCGTCCGCGAGCACCAGCAGGCCGCACTTGAGGAGCCGACCCGCATGCGAGCACCCCGCGATGAGTCCCGCATCCAGCAGGTAGGGCTCGGATACGCTGCCGTCAAGCATGAAGCGGCGCTCCCCCGCGTACAGGGTGAGGGCCATACCCAGCAGGCCCCGAGGGAGGAGGGAGGGGGGGGAGGAGGAGGAGGTGAGGAACGCGGGGCGCCGTCTCTTCAAAACGAGGACCCAACACCACAGGATGGTTGGGAACAAGCACAACCATGCTCATGCCCTGTGACGGCCCTACCGGCAAGCACGCGGTATGCAGAATGTATCGCGAGTCATTGGCTCAACGCAAACAGCTAGCTCACCCCTCAGAACCTATCCCCTGCCCACTCCTCAACTGGCATAACATTTCGAAAACCATCCCTCCCAACCAAGGCAATTGAAGATGTGTCGAATTGCTGCTGAATCTCCGATTGGGACATATCCAAGCGTGCACACATCGAGACGCCGAGCATGATGTGAAGTCGACTGCTGCCCACTTGGCAATTCCGAGTCTTGCACAGCGATCGTCGCGCGCTACCCGCTGCAGACCATGAGAAGGCGCATTAGGCGGCACGGTCATCTCACCAAGACGGCGCTGTAGTACACTGTAGGAACTCAAAATGAACGGATATGGAAAGGAGAGCGATAGGAAACATGCCCGCTATGGAGAGGCTGAGGGAGAGCAGATCGGGCGTTGGCAGAACTGGGTTTAGTGGGACCTGGTTTAGTGATGTGTACTGGGGGACGCCCCCCCGCCCCGTTCCACTAATCGGAACTGCCGTCACCCGAAAAAAACACCAGCTACGGCAGACCTGGTTTAGTGATTCTGGCCAATTTACGGGCTCCAGGGCCCTACCACTAACCGGATCCTCTTACCTGGGGTCCTGGCTATACCCGAGCAGAGATGGGAGAGACGGGAAAGCGGAGGCGCCAAGACGAGGTCGGTGGCCCCACGAGATGGAGCTGCCAAGCTGCCGGTCTCGCTTTCAGACGTGCGCCGCGCTCAAAGACAAAGGTCGCACTGGCCGTGCAGTCCACCTGTCCGCTCACCGGCCGCCAACCCTTTCTGGCCATCGCTCGGACGTCCCTTCCCTGTGTTTTTTGTTGGCTTCGTGCGTGGTTTTTTCGCGAAGCGATCAAGGATGCTCCTCGATGGTCCTCGCCGAAGGAAAACTGCACACGTCCGAGCGATGCCAACCCTTTGGATGGCGACGCTGCCAACTGCCTCCGCTCCCGGAGCTGCGCGCTGCGCGGGCGCCCCCTCGCCGACCCGACCCCGCGCCGAGCCCCGGGGGCGGCCGGGGGAGGGCCGCCCTGCTGGGGCGCCTCTCGGGCCGTCCTGGCACGTGCGTGGGCCGCCCTTCCGTGCGATCGGCTTCCTCCTCCTCCTCCTCCCCCTCCCTCCTCCCTCCTCCTCCTCCTCCTCCTCCCCCCCTCCTCCCTCCTCCCCCTCCCTCCTCCTCCTCCTCCTCCTCCTCCTCCTCCTCCTCCTCCTCCTCCTCCTCCTCCTCCTCCTCCTCCTCCCCCACTCCCCCTGGCCACGGGCGCGCACCCAGACCCACCCGCGGCGCAGGGCTGCGGGCCCGAGGCGTCCGCGGCGCTCTGGGGAGGCCGAGCCCGGGGGGGGAGGGGGGGCTGCTGCGCAGCTGGGCGACTGCTGGGTGTGCAAACAGAGAGCGCGTGTGTGTGCCGGCGCTCTCTTCCCTGCGCCGCTCACCGCAGCAATTTTAGACACAAGCTGAGTTGTGGCAGGATCTAAACACCAGTTCACTTTCTGTAGAAGTGTCAGCTTGAATCGAAGAGCCATTGCATAAACAGATCGTCGAGGAACTTGTCTGCTTGAATCGCCGAGGAGCCCCCTTTCCAGAGAGAGCCCCGCTGTACCGGAAGACTGGGCCCGGAACGAGAAGGCATCCGCTGGCTGTAAGCGCACGACTGCTCACACACACACACACGAAGCCATCTCGGGAGAGACCATCGAGGGACTTCCTTCGCCTGGCCGATTCCGCGTGCGCGTCTTCGGCCGAAGAAGACGGCATCAGCAAAACAATGCACAGCCACCGCCTGTCAGGCCACTGAGAGGCCTGCGCCGCGCTCGCAGCAATGACGACTGTCGGCTCACTGAGCCCGCGCCGCTGCGGAACAACCCAGACCTCTCACAACCGACGGCGGCTGCTCTAGGAAATCGGCCGTGGCGGCGGCGTCGGGCCCGAGCGCACTGGAGAAGCCGGCCGAGCGAGAGCGGCGTAACAGAGCAGAGCATGAGTAGAGCCTCCGCCCTTGAGGATCAACAAAAAAAGATACTGCAGAACGTTATGGCATGCAGAACTCGCTATACACACCACGACCTTCAACCCATCCAATCGCCTGTCTAAAAGCCGCACTGCTTTTCGACCCGTGATTCGGCTGCGCTGTCCACCAGCAGGGTGGCCACTGACAGGCGTGAGCATCGAGCCGAGTCCATGCGCCTCGCACGTCCGCCGAGCGGGAAGGCGACTCCGCACGTGGGGGAGAAGGACAAAGGGAATCACGTGGTAAAGACGAGAAGCAGGAATACACAAGGTCCATGAAAAAATGAGAAGAGGAGGAGGAGGAAGGAGTCCCGTCTGGCTGGCTATTCAAGCCGTGAATCAGTTGCACTTTCCGCCGGAAGGGTGGCAGCTGAAAACAAGCGTGCGCGACAGAGAGTATCGTGTGTAAGCTCGCCTCGCAAACAACTGACAAACCATATTCACTAGTTCTGGCCGATGGCCCGCAAACACCCTGCCAACCTGCCAACCCACTGGCGTCATTCGTCCGATCGCAAACTGTCGCAGAGCGCTGCAGGGGCGGCAACGTTGATGCACAACTTGCGCAACTGGACACGTCAAGCACACAATTGAAACATCTCCCAACAGCGAGGCTACAGCCCAGCCGTCTGCGGATGCGGTCTGGCAGTCCTCCGAAGATGTCCTCGTCTCCCTTCCGAATTCGCTATCTCCTCCTCCTCCTCCTCCTCCTCCTCCTCTTCCTCCTCCTCCTCCCCCTGCCCTTCCTCCTCCTGCCTCCTACCCTGATCAGAAGGCACAATCGCCGTTGGCACAACACTAAGTATGCGGAGCAAGAGCGGACCAGGACACGCGAAGGTGATAAAGGAGGTGCAGCGGAAGTAGGATAAGGAGGGCAGCGATCGCACACTCGCGAACGACACCTGTCACTTAGGCGGTCGAACTGTCGCGGCTGCGGATGATGTGGTCCAGAGAGCCAACTACCTTCAAGTTGATCTCCTTGTCCCTGGCGTTTGTGACCAAGATGTCCTTTTGAGACAGCACGTGGATAGCCGTCTGCGTATCAGTATGGTGCCAACTGTCGAGCACCCCGAAAGTGCAATTCGAATGCTTTGCTGAATCTATGCCGTGGACTTTCAATCGGAGCCTATCCTCGCTAGCTGGCACTAGCCCGTTCTCCGTTGCCATCTCAGTGGCAATCCAACACTCCACGTTTGGCCAAAACCGTTGGTTATAGACACGCTCATACAGCACAATAACCGTACACCCGAGAAAGATGAAGAGCAACGTGTTCTCCAAGATCAGCCTGAACTCCTCCTCTTCCTCCTCGGTCCTCCCGCCGCCGAGCCATTGAGGTGCACATGCCCAATCGATCCATACAGACTTGATCGACGGGCTCTTAGCTAATATGCCTCGCAACTCAGACAATTTGCTGCCATCTGGATCGAAGTGTTCTGGATCTGACCAGCGGTGGGACACTGCTGCTGTGTGAGTCACAAACCGCCCAGCAAACACATCCTCCAGGGTCATGGTCCGCTTCACCAATAGACCAGCGTCTCTCAACACTTGGTGGCGGAACATGGGCTTGTTACGCGGCATGTTCATGAGTGCTTCCACTGGGAGGAACCAGAAAGCCATGGTCTGCAACGAATCAACCTTCTGGTCCAGCTGGTGCTCCGACATGCTGGTTCCACTCTGGGCGTCGCGCATGCTGCGGTCGTGCGCTGGGCCCCTGCCACGGCGGGGACATCCGCGCCTCATAAGACAGCCCAAGCCCAGCGCGGTGCAGGCCAGGAGGAGGATCACGACACCAACGAAGACTGTAAGCAATCTCCCGGAGTCTTGCTGCTCCTCCGCCCATGGTGCATTGCTCGAATAGCTACCACCTAATTTGGTGATGCTGGAGCCCGCTGGGTCTTCGTAGTCCAACGGTGCGTCGAGCACAATGGATCCAAAGCTCGCGATGTCACGAGTCTCCGAATTTCCGCCACCAGTGATCACGATGGTGTCCCCTACAGAAAAGCCCTCCTCGGACTCCACCAACAACTCATGTGATCCTGCCAGTACTGGACTCACCAATGCAGTCGTTGCGGTTAGCACCATATCGGTGGTCCGTGTGATCGTCGTGCCGGTCGTCTTGGTGGTGCTGCTGCTGCTGGGCGATGCGGAACTCGTGCCCGCTTTGGTGATCGTGGTGGTGGTCGTCCTGGTGGTGGTGCTGCTGGGCGATGCGGAACTCGTGCCCGTCTCGATGATCGTCTTGGTGGTCGTCTTGGAGGTGCTGCTGCTGGGCGAGGCGGAACTCGTGGCAGTCGGGCTCGGCGTCGGCGGCATCAGGGTACAAATGCCATGGTGGTTGCCAAGCGTCAAGGCACCTGTCTCGCTGCAGAGGCTGTAATAGACATTTCCTTTCCACAGGAAGCAACCCCGCGCCGGCCAGAAGTCGTGGCAAAAGCTGTAGCTGCTGTACGGTGTATAAGCTCCGTCGATGGTAACGCCTGCACTGCACTCGCTCTGGGATATAACCCTGTACCCAGCAGGGCACTCCTCGACGCCATCCGCGACGAAGACGTAGGTGCTGGCGTCGGCTGCGGTGGCGGCGTGGGTGCTGGGGTCGGTGGCGGCGTCGGCGGCGGTGGCGGCGTAGGTGCTGGCGTCGGCGGCGGGGGCGGCATAGGTGCTGGGGTCGGTGGCGGCGTCGGCGGCGGTGGCGGCGTTGGCTGGCGTCGGTGGCGAGGCGGCGGTGGCGGACGCGGCGTAGGTACAGGCGCCCCGCCGCCGAATACACAGCACATTTCACTGGAACCGAAGCCAAGGTCTTCATAGTAGTAACCCCACGAGCACATATACGGTTGAGCACTGTATGTATTACAATCCCAACCCTGTGAGGTTGACGACCAACCGTCGGTGTTCACACAGGCACCCTGTACGATGCCGAAGGGGAGCGCGAGAACAACAGCTGCGTGCAGGGGGGTCATGTCGAGCACGCGCGCGGGCTAGATGAACGAATGCTGGTGAGCAGAAGTAGCGTCTGTGACGCCGCGGCCAGGGTCGAGATGCTTCGAGTCAAAATGGCTATAGGCCCAAACGGCTCCACGGATGTGAAAGTCAGGGCAAATTTGGAGGGAAAGGGAGCCACGAGAAGCCAAACGGCCACCAAGAGTTCTTGCGACAGACTGGGCCATTGGGACCACCCGAAAACCGCGCGACACACGGGGCCCATGGGGAGAAAGCAAAGAGGAGGTCGCAAGCAGCCCACGGGGCCACTGGGAAAAATTGCGGCAGGCAAGGCCACTACGGGGAAAGCCACAGGAAGCCATGTACCAACTGAGCGGCCAGCAGAAAACAGACGCGGCAAGCAAGACCAATTGGAGGGGAAGTCGTATGACTTCTCGGGAAGACAAGGGGCCACTGGAACTAGTGCGGCAGACAAAACCATATGGATGGAACAACCATGAGAAGACGTAGGACGCTACACATGGGCGCCGGACAAACGCGCGGCAGACGGGGCGAGTGGGGGGGAAACCGTAGAAGGCCAGGCGGTTACCAAAAACATGTGCGGGAAGCAGGTCTCCGCAGGAGTCGTGACTACAACACAAGAAACACAGAACACACTCAGTGTGAACTGAAAGAGGCCTCCTAGATAGGGTCCGAGTAGGTGGGGTCGGAGGATCGCGCCGCATCGCCGATGCATCGGCGATGCATCGGCGATGCAGCGGCGACGTCGGCGATGCATCGGCGACGTCGGCGTAGAGAAAATCGGCCTCCACATCAAGCCGCATCGGTGACGCTTTGGAAAAACGACGCGATCCACCGACCCCATCTCCTCGGACCCCATGTGTGAAAAAAACGGCGTCAGCTCAAGCTGTTTGCGCTCCGCGAAGATTTCTTGGATCTGCGCTGGACCCCCTACCCTGGCGCGCGGAGCGCGCCAGGGATGGCGCCGGAGGCGCCGCCAGGGGGGGCCACCGCGGATCCAAGAAATCCGCCCAGAGCGCCAAAAGGTTATGTTTTTGGCGTTGTTTCTTCTTCGACTCTACTCTCGACTCATTCCCCGGGAACAGCTTTTCTCATCCTTAGTCGTTGTTTGATAGCCCCGAGGCCCGGCGAAGGCCCCCAGAGGCCCAAAACAGCCAAACACCTCCCGCCGTGTTTTTTTCACCTCGAGGGGCTGGGTGCCCGGACCCCATCTGGGAGGCCTGGAGCTGAGAGGGGGAGCTGGTAGGCCTGGCTGCAGAGAAGGCCTTCGCGGCAGCCAGATCTGCTCGAAGCGGTGCGGGTGGGGTGAGGGACGGGGCGTGGGCTGCCACAGGGCTCGAGGATCGCTGCAGATACATCCTGGCGCGGTTGCCGATGTGTTCAACCCACAAGAGTTTCTCCCACCCCCCCAAGGTAAGCGAAATTAACCATTCTCTCGGCGGCCTTATTGACGGACTGGTGTCCCACCAATGAAGGAAACTATTTCTTCTCCGCGGCGCCCGGCAGCAGCGCTCTCATGGAAAATCTTGGTTCGGACACTTGGCACTGAAAAGCTTTATCCTGAAAGCTCCATCGTGGGAAGGACCGTTGAAGCTCAGGCCCCCTCGCGGGCCCTCAGACATCCATCCTCTTTCGCGTGATATATATATATATATATATATATTTATATATGTATATACAATATTATGGCGAGTCCTGCGTTGTCCACACCAGAAAAGCCGCCATGTTGGCCGCGCGCGCCGACTAGGCACCAACAGGAGTTTTGCCCGCAGTGCTAGGCAGACGACTTTGAGCAAACTCGCGAATCAGAACGAAACGATTCCTATTACTATCCTCGTGAGAAGATGCTTACAAATCCTCCCGCGCGCAAAATGACCCACAATGGGTTCTTCCGCTGAAGGGAAAATGCCGGAACATTACCCAACCCGCCCAACAGTAGAGGGAAACGAATCCCACATCGCCGCGCGCGCCGACTAGGCGCCAGCAGGAGTTGCGCCAGCAGCGCTAGGCAAACGAGTTTGAGCAAATTCGCAAATCAAAACAAAACAACTCGCATTGCAATCCTCATGCGGAGATACTTACAAATCCTCCCGCGTGCAGGGTAGCCCACAGTGAAGACTTCCATCGGAAAAATACCCCCCGACATGATCCACCCTGCCCAACAATAGAAGGAAACGTATCCCACGTCGCTGCCAGCGCCGACCAGGCGTCAGCTAGAACTCTGCCAGAGATGCGAGGCGAACGAGCACGAGCAAATGCAAAATATCAAGACGAAGAAATTCCGACTTCAACCTTCATGATAAGATGCTCACAAAACCTCCCGCATGCCGGGTCGCCCGCAGTGGATTTTTCCGCTGAAGACATAAACCCCGAACGTTCTCCAGCCCGCCCAACACTGGAACGAAACCAATCCCATGTCGCCGCGCGCGCAGACCAGGCGCCAGCAAGAGCTCTACTGACAGTCCTAGACAGGCGAGTTTGAGCAAACTCGCAAATCAACAACGAAACACATCTACCTTGGAATTCCATGAGAAGGTGATGACACACCCTCCCGCGCCCAGGGTCGCCCGCAGTGGATTCTCTGGCTGGAAAAATACCCCCCAAAACGTGATCCAGCCTGCCCAACAATAGAGGGAAAACAATCTCACGTCACCGCGCGGGCCGACCAGGCGCCATGATTTCTGCCAAAAGTGCTAGGCGAACGAGTTTGAGCAAATTCGCCAATCAGCACAAAGCAATTCCGATTGCAATCCTCGCCAGATGCTCACAAATCCTCCCGCATGCAAAGCCCACACTTGAATATTCGCTCGAGAAACAAGCCCCAAACATTACCTAGCCCGTCCAACAATAGAGTGAACAACATATCCGCCGCGACGAGGAGGCTTTAGGACCAGTTTCGCGCACGGGGGAGAGGTCAGGGGGGTCCAAACTAAACACGTCTGAGGTTAGGTGTGTATATAGATATTTATATGTATGTATCTACGCATTCATGCACACACGCACACACACGTGCCTCCCCGCTGCGTGAGCCAAGCTGGCACGGGCGCTGGATCGATCTGCTCTGCGCCGCGCTGCCTCGCGCGTGTCCGCGATGCCCAAGATTGCTCGACATGCTCCAGGCCGCGCTGCCTCGCGCGTGGCCGCGGCGCCAACACACGTGTATATATTTATATATATATATATATATATACACATATATATATATATGTATGCATAGAATGCAAGACTGCATTGGCGCTTCGCGCCATGCGCTTTGTGCCAGACGCTCCAAGGCAAAGCAATAAATCATCGCTTGCTTCAGCGGGAAGGACCTCGAAGACTGGACGGGCGACCGGCTCATTCTTCTGATGTCCCTGGTGCCTGCTGACACCGCGTTCGCCAGATGCGCTTGCACGCTTCTGCGCAGGAGTGGGGGAGGAATGAAGTTTTATTGTGAAGGGAAGGAGCGGTCCCATGACACGCCGAAGAAGTCGCAGTAACTTCGCACAACATCAATTATTGGTAGCTTCCTGAATGCCTGGAGGGCTCCAGGCACTCAGGAAATCTCTGATCGTCGAACTGCGAATCTAAATCCATTGCCTGTTTCTCTCGATCGAGGTACTTAGACCTCGAGCCTCAAGCGTGGAACCAAGATCGTCGGGTCAGCTCGATGTACGTCGTAGGAAGACGCCGTCTGGGCGTTTGGGGGGCTCTTTTGGGGCGTCCTGGGGTCCTCTGGGGCCGTCCCTGGGCCTTCTTGGGCCGTCTTGGGGAGCTGGGGCCCCCCATAGGTCTTCTGAAACCATCTAGGGCCCTCTTGGGGGACTCCAATGTCCTTATTGGGGGTCTCCCATGGCTTTCGTGGGTCTCTGTTGGGAGCCTTCAGGGGGCATCTTGGGCTTCTTGCGGGCAGTCTCGGAGCTCTCTGGGGCGGTCTTGGGGCCCTCTTCAAACCGTCTGGAGGGAAAAACACTGAATCCAGGAAGGTAATTATCACTTAACTCCGAAGTTAAGTGATTTTCTCATTTTGTATTGCTACCACTTTCACGACGACTTAGCTCCGCAGTTAAGTCACTCTATGAGTGCTGCTTCCGCCCGGCCGCAAAGTCACTTAACTCCGGAGTTAATTGATTCCGCGGGCCGCCCCTGCCCTTCATTCGGCCCGGGAAAAAGCAAAAAGGGAGGGTTGCAAAAGGGAAGGACAGGAAAGGAAAAGGGTTGGAAAAAGGAAAGAAAAAAGGGAAGGAAAAGGGAGGGAAGAGAGAGGGAAACAGGGAGGGAAAAGGGAGGGAAAAGACAGGGAACAAGGGAGGGAAAAGAGGTCGAAAAAGGGAGGGAAAGGGAAGGAAAAGGGAGGGAAAAATGAGGGCAAAGAAAGGGAAAAAACGGGATGGAACAAGAGATGGACCAAATTATGGGAAAAGGCAAGGACAGGGGGGGGAAAGGGAGGGAAGGGGAGGGAAAAGGGGGGAAAAGGGAGGGAAATGACAAGAAAAAGGGAGGGAAAGGAAAAGGAAAGAAAAAGGGAGGGAACAGGGAAGGAAAAGGGAAGGAAAAGGGAAGGATAGGGGGGGGGGGGGGGAGGGGGGGGGGGGGGGGGGGGGAGGGGGGGTGCGGGGGGGGGGGGGGGGGGGAGGGAAAGAAAAGGGAAGGATAGGGGGGGGGAAGGGAGGGAAACGGAAGGAAAAGGCAGGGGAAAGGGCGGGAAGGACAGGGGAGGAAAAGGAAGGGAACAGATATGGAAAAAGTAACGGGAAAGGGAGGGAAAAGGGAAGGAAGGGACAATGGGAGGGAAAACGGTAGGGAAAGGAAGGAAAAGGAAGGGGAAACGGTAGGGAAAGAAAGGACAAGGAAGGGAAACGGGAGGGAACATGTACGAAAAAGGATAGAAAATGGAAGGATTGGTGAGGAAACGGGAGGGAAAAGAAATTGAAAACGGGAGGGATAAGGGAGTGAAAAGGAATAAAACATATAAAGAAAAAGGAAAGGAAAAGGGACGGAAAAAGGCAGGGAAAAAGGGAAGGAAAATGGGAGGGAAAAAAGGAGGGATAGGATAGGGGAAGGAAAGAAAAACGGGAGGGAAAATGGAAGGACATGGGGAGGAAAAGCGATGGAACATTGAAAAAGGGAGGGGAAAGGGAGAGAAAATGGATAGGAAAAAGGGGGACAAGGGAGGCCCCGACAGAGCGGGCAGGGCATCGGAATACCATACTATGTACACCGTTTCGCACCCACCCCTCCGGACCCCCAAGAATTCTCAGATATTCCTGAGGGGTTCATGCGGGTTCCAAAGGATCCCCGATGATTCCTGAGGGAACCCTCAGGATTCCCAGCGGTTCCTCAGGGGGCCATGAGGATTCCGAAGGTTCCTCAGGGGGTCCTGGGGATTCCCCAGGGATTCCTACAGATTCCTGGGGATCCGAAGGATTCCGACGGGATTCCTAAGGACCCATTAGGATTCCGAGGAGATTCCGAACGATTCCTAAAGGATTACTACTCGGTTTCTCTGGATTCTTGAGATTTCCAAAGTCCTGGATTCCGCATGCCGCGTTCCTGGATTTCTGATTTCCTACAGTTCGGGGGTTCTATAGATTCTTTGATTTCTATGGATCCCAGGAAATCTTCGAGTTTCAACGATTCCTGGGTTCCTGGCGTCTCGGCTTTTCCTCAATTTCTGGATTCTGGTCTTTCTACTTCCAGGATTTGCAGGAATTCCATGGAAATCCTTCCGTGACGGCTCGGGAAGCCCGCCGTCTTTCCAACGCTTTTCCGCCGCCCCCCGCCGCCTTTCCGCCTTTCCGCCGTCGTTGCGCCACCCTTCCGCCACCCTTCCGCCGCCCTTCCGCCGCCCTTCCGCCACCCTTCCGCCGCTCTTCCGCTGTCCTTCCGCAACTTTTCCGCCGCCCTTCCGCCGCCCTTCCGCCCTGCCGCCGCATTTCCGCCGCGCCCTTCCGCCGCGCTTCCGCAGCCCTTCCGCCACCCTTCCGCCGCCCTTCCGCCGTCCTTCCGCCAACTTTCCTCCGCCCTCCGCCTGGGCTGACCTCATTGGTACTCAAGGTAGTGGCCGCCTCCTCCATCGCACTTCATAGCGTATCATAGCATGGCACTGCATAGCATATTAAAGCATAGCGTTGCATAGCCATGGCAGAGCAACGCGCTGCATAACATTGCATCACAGCATCGCATAGCACTGCATAACACGTCATAGCATCGCATAGCATCGCATGCCATATCATAGCATGGCATTGCATTGGTTTTTGAGGCATAGCATTGCGTAGCATCGCATATAATAGCATAGCACTGCATAGCAGATACGCGCATGTTTGAAGTATCGCGTCTATGGGGAGAAGGATGAGGAGGAAGAGGAGGAGGAGGAGGAGGAGGAGGAGGAGGAGGAGGAGGAGAATAGAGGAGGAGGAGGGGGAGAGGGGAAGGAGGAGGAGGGGGAGGAGGGAGGAGGAGGAGGGGAGGAAGAGAGGAGAAGAGGAAGAGGAGAAAGGAATAGAGGAGAGAGGAGAGAGGAGGAGGAGGAGGAGGAGAGGAAGAGGAGAGGAGGAGGAAGGAGGAAGGAGGAGGGAGGAGGAGGGGGAGAGGGGGAGGAGGAGATGAGGAGGGGAGGAGGAGGAGGAGGAGGAATGGAGAGGAGGAGGAGAGGAGGAAGGAGGAAGGAGGAGCGACGAGGAGCGTCGAGGAAGCGACGAGGAGCGACGAGGAAGAAGTAGATTACAGGGGGGGAAAAGGAAAGAGGAGGAGCAGGGAGGAGGAGAGGGAGGGGAACGAGGAGGATAAAGGAGGGAGGAGAGGGGGAAAGATGAGATGAGGAGGAGGAGGGAATATATGGTCCAGGGCTTGGGTCCCCCCCCCCCAATGCTAATACCATCGGGTCCCCCCCCCCCGCGCGATCCTGTGGGCGTGGCGTGGTGGCCCTCCCCCTGTGGGGGTGGTGGCCCCCCTGTGGACGACACCGACGACGACGACGAAGACGACGACGACGACGACGACGACGACGACGACGACGACGACGACGACGACGACGACGACGGCGGCACGGGCGCCGGCGACGACGACGACAGCGTCAGCATCGGCATCGGCATCGGCATATGCATCGCCGTCCCAGGCATGACGTAAAACTGCTACACTTGACGGAGGGGAGGTGCCAAGCTGTAATCGTGCATAACAGCCGTAATCAGTTTGGGCTAGCCTCTTCCGATGAAGTCAAGTGCGCGCTCAATCTGGCGTGCGCCCGCAGGTTAAAAGCCGGGGCGGAACGATTGCGTCCTCGGCACGACGAAAA